GAGACTCGATCGTTAAAGAACGATGCAATTTCGATCGATACGAAAGCCCTGATGCCGATGTAACTACATCAAAGCGAATCGAGACAATTAGCGTTTGTCTCCCGTTTATAATTATTACGGATTTACGTGGCGCGGTGTCTTCGCAAAACGTGACGTTTCCAGTCGTCCCTTTTCGACCCTAATCGAGCGCCGTGTGTCATTTCAATGTCAAAGTGACAGGTGGCGGGACGTAATCGAGGTAAAGAGGTACAAAGCAAATAACCGGTGGTTACCGCTCGCTCGTCGAGCAGAACGTTATGCGCTTTTATATATTTCACGTGAGTTAAAAGCGCGTTTTCTCTCTCTCTCTCTCTCTCTCTTTCTCTCTTCACGATCGATCCAACTAACGTTCCGCGATGCCAATCCGATCGCGTAATATGCTAAATAAATGGCAGCAAACGCGATTTACATTTTCGATCGTGACGAAAACAGTCGCGCGGGTTTTAATTATGCAAACTGTATGTTATGTTTATTATAATGCTTACTATCGCTCGCGACGTTTTCTTTTACACTTTAGACAAATTAAATCGCATCATATTATCCATCTATAATGATACATTAATGCGTTTTTATAGAAGAAACGCCCTCCAGGCCTTCTAAGCGTTCCCGTCTCGACCACAAATCTTGACGTGAATTAATGGGGTAATGTACGTTTCGACAAGTGATTAATTTTCGACACGACGTGCTTTTGCAACTGGTCTTTACGCAATCTGCAAACCGATGGCAACTGGCAAACCGATATCCGAGACACTCTCTCGCTTACGGCGATATTCTGTATCATGATCGACATTCGTGCGTAACGTCGTTACATGGAAACGATCATCGTTTGAAGGATTTTCTCTTTGGGGCATTTAAGCGTACTTCGAACAAAATAATCGGACGAGAGTAATGTTGCTCGTACGCATAAATACATTTCACTCACGCCAAGCAAGTAATAGCGGGGTTTCATTACCCGCACGAAAAAGTCGGCATTCGAGAATGCACCGGCGTAGACGCTAATTATGTATTTTGCACGTACCTGCATTTTAACGTTTTTTACACTTTTACGTCCTTTTTCCCGCGTGCAATGATCGCGCCGTAATGATCCCCTGCGCGGCAACACATTTCCCGTACCATATTTCTTCCGATTAAAGCAAATTAAAATTATATGCCTTCTAAGAGAGACAGATACGTTCAAATTGCATTGTAAAGTGGAGTCGATATCTCGAGGGCACGCGGGTGAAGCATGAGAAGGCATCGGTTAACAGAAAAGTAAAGTTTCTTTTCGGAGCTATTACATTTATAAGTTGTATACGAAACGGAATCTCTTCCTGTTTTCGCAAGACGCTCTTTTTGTCCAATCGACCTGCAGTATAACGTAAATTGAGGCAAATTGATCACAGTTCGAATCAATATAATGCCGAAATTCTAAGCAGAATCGTAAGACTTGTAACATATTCTTATAAGACTTGTAAGAATTTTTAAACGCTTATACCTTTATACAATATTTTTACAGACAGTTTCTTACCATAACATTTTTTATAGACATTTTCTAGCCATAAAATTTGTAAGAAATTATAGATATTTATAAATAATCGTATGTCTTACGATAAATAAAATTATCATAAAATTAGATTAGATTAAAATTAGATAACTAAAATTAGATTACTATAATAGATTAGATAATTAAAATTAGATTACTAATCATAAGTTTCTTACAAGTTTTATGAGAACACGTTAAAAGTCTTAAAATTGACCCATTAGTTTTGAGATAGTTTTAATCAACCTTTAATTAAAAATTTTTTTTGTCCAAATGAGCTGTTTTATCATGTTGTTTACTTCTCCTCTACATCGAAAATAATTAACAGTTCCGTAATGTATATGTGATCCTACAGTTCACGATCAAGCGAAAAGATCGTGAATGCATGTAAAAATTTTATTTCTCATATAAATTCACAATCCCAAAAAAATTACAAATTTTGTGACTTTGTAATAATGTAATAATTATGTTAAAACTTATGCAAATTATAATTATGATTTTTACAGTGTGTGTAGTTTACTAAATCAGTTTAATAACTAATGATCCATAGGTCGCTGGTTCGAATCCGGCTCGAAGGAACCAGCGCAATCCCAGCGTTGAGTGGTTCTCTAGTTCCCACCTCGAGTCTCTGGTGAGACGGAATGTCGCGAAGAAGCTCCTGGCAGTTGGCGGCCCACTTTCGGAGAGGGAACCCGCCCGCCATGCAGAGGTTGCGGAGCTCTACTTGGAGAGCGATAGCGTCGTCCTTTTCATGCGCTCCGGTTGCGACATCGTCGACGCAGCAGTCGTGTCATAACGGATCTGCGCCTCGAGGGAAACGTGGTCCGTCGTCATCGGCATCAACGGCAAAAGCTCCGGGCCCAGCAGGGGAAAGGTGACTCTCAAGGTTACCTCGTTAACCACAGGGACCGACTTCAAAGTCGGAGCCTTTATTCCGCCACGTCTTTCGCTTTACCAAGGCTCTCACGCCAGGATCAGAATGGAGGGGCCACATCTAAAGGGGCTCCAATTGGCTGATCCGGACTACGCAGCGAACGACTCGATTGAGCTACCTTTTGGAGCGGAGGTATGCTCAATCATTCTCCAGGGTGGTTTCCGTTTTCCCCCTCAATTTCAGGGCATCTCAGATAATTTTCCCTTCTTCATTTTTATGCAATACGTATTGTTTCGTTATATAAAACTCAAGCCAAAATTATAAAAATTAAGAAAATATAATAAAATTTAATTAAAAAAATTTGTTTTTGATACTTTTTTATACATAAATAAACAAAAATTAATTCAATTCGCTTCAGTCTACCCTCTATGGCTGATATTTCATGCTGCATTTTAAAATATCCATGAGAATTTTGGGTTCAAAATTCTCTGTCTCTACGATACTGTTGTCAGATAAAAATAGCGTTTAGAAATCGCTAAATGCTTAGAACTAAGTGAACAAAAAGGGTTATCGAACGAACGGAGTGAAGGTGACGTAACGTGACGACTTCGACTTGTCCGCACACCATTAAAGTGTCACTCGATGTCTTCGACGATTTCGTACCGGTCTGATCGCGACGACGGCGCGAGTGAATAATTCGCCGCTGATGCATAATTGATAACCTCTATATACGGTTAGTAGTCGCGAAGCGCAGTAATGACACCAAGTAGAGACCCACGCCTAGCCCGGTCGTCGTCTAAAGATATACCCATCCCAATTAGAGGAATTGACATCAGTGATCGCCGACACCAACCGGGAACGCCTCTCGTCGCTCTCTCGTCGCTTTATATTTCGTCACTCGATTCTATCGAGCGGCGGCCGGTCGTCGCTCCAATCCCCGTCGGGGATAACGCGGAATTAATAATATCTGACAATCTCGCTAATTGCATGAATCATCTGTTCCTTCTGCATCGTGTTAGCCAAGTACGCGGAGACACGTATAATTCGATCGGACACGTATCGCATACGCGATCGTTATCTCGTTACAGAGATGGTCTAGCTCTAACGTATTCACGATGGCGAGAAAGATAAGTAAGATATTCAGCCAATGTTTAATAATTAATGTCCTTTTTTTTTGCCAGAATACCACAATACGTATAATTATGCGAATTAATTATTCATAGAAATGTGATACTTAAATAACTGCAGATGTTGCTTTTATTAGATGTCATTAAAAATCAATTTATTCGTGTTAATTATTTAAACAACGTACTCTATCCTATTTTTAAATTCTTTACATAACAATGAGATTTTAATAAAAGAAATTAACAAAATTACGGCATTAATACTTCACTTGAAAAAGCGTCGTTGTCGTCGCGATAAATTAACGAAGCTCGGTACAATGCACATTGAGGTGCTCGCGGCTTTGTAATTACACGGCGCTTTCAAGAACCGACAGAATGAAATACTTAAATTTCCGTTTTCCCCGCTGCTCTCGAAAATACTTAAAACATTATTTACTCAAGGCAATATCATCTCGCATGAAAATCAAGATACAACTCACGCAACGAGATAACAATACGGAACAGTAACAACGAGCACCGTAGAAGTCGATAATGATCAACGTGCATTCACCGAGAGTCACTCCATTTCTGAGAGTTGCTACTTTCAGACAAAATGCACGTTGATCTGACAAACAATCTCTCCTTCTTGGCTTTACATTAACACTAACATTAACTCATTCTATAATCCTGAGAAAGGAGAGAGTAATTAACAGAAACAATGTGTACTTCTTTTAGGAATTATTAAAGAGCGTTAATGCCTCGGTAACCGAAACTAAATTAAGAAGGAACAAAAGATTTGTCTCTTGACTAAGATGACATTTTTTCTCATTATATCAATTTTTTTTCATTAGAAAGAGATTTTTTAAGCAAAAGCCAAATTAAGCCTACTGTTTCGGTAAACAGGCTAAAGTAAGAAGACGCAAAAGACTTGTCTCTCGACTATATAAAGTGACATTTTTTCATCATATTAATTTCGTCATTAGAAAAGAGATTTAGTGTACTTAAGCAAAAATCAAATTAAACTAGTAGCACACAGAAAAAACGTATAGTAAGCGAATCAACATTTTTTTTATTTGCTACTGTTTGGATTATTGCCTTACATTCTCAACTGTGATTATGGCTGATTCGCTTATTATTTACGCTTATTATTTGTTTTAGTACTTATATTGTTTCTATGTGCTATTCCAATAAACAAGAAACATTTTGGAACATTTCAGCATTATTGCAACGTTATAACAATGTTGCTAAAATGTTCCAAAATGTTTCTTGCTTACCGAGATCAGTTTTACTCAATAAATTCAATTCAAATGCGATAGAACGTTCAGCTGTGAGACATTTTATTCACAAACGGCGCCTTTTTACTCTAGATTGCTGGTTTTCAAATCTTATCATCAACGCGTCTTCAACTTATACAATGATCATCTTACACTAATTATGCTTGTGATGTATATTAATGGGCGCGTACCTGCCAGTCTGTCCTTGAGATGCGGATGCGCCTGCAGAGGGTGCGCAGCGAGGTTCGCCAGGAGGCTCGCCCGGTGCAGACCGGCTGCCGCGGCTTGGTGTTGGCTGTGTTGAAGAGCCTGCAAACTCCAGGGTGGTATCAGCGCCTGTGCGGGCAAAACGCTGACCGGCGCGCCGTTTGCGCCCGGTGGCCGGTGCGCCGGTACCCTTATGACGCTGCCGCCGGCGTAGATGAAATCGGTAGAGTCGAAGACTCGGAAGGGGGCGAGGAGTTCCGCTGCCGACGGACAATGTACGGACGAGGAAGAGTTTGCGCGAGTGTCGGGTGTACTGTCGTCGTCGTCCTTCTCCGATAGTTTCTCCTCGGCGTCGTGGCCCCAAGACCGCCTGCCATCATCGAGAATCCCACCCGAGGATGCTTGGTTGTTGTTGTTATTATTGTTATTGTTGTTATTGTTGTTGCCCTCCTCCCAAGACCACTTCCTCTCCTTGTCGCTGTCTGGTTCTTCCGAGGACGGGCTCTTAGGATTCTGGACACCGCTTTCGCCCAGCAGACGACTTATGCTGAACGGATGGCTACGGGGAGGATTGTTCGCCAGAGTCCTCGCGCCGATTTGACTCGGAGGTGGTGAAGTGGAACACTCGGAGGTCTCCTGGGACACGTGGCGGCCATCGTGGCTCACGTAATTTTGCGGACTGCAACTTCGGGAATCCGAATCATCCACATTGATCTCCTCCGTCGCGTCCACGTCGCTGTCACCGTGCTCCGACATGATCTCTTCTTCTCGCGAGTACTCGGTGCTTGTGATCAGAGGCAGTGTGCTTCAAACAACGGGTGTCTTCATCGAGTCGTCATGTGTCTACAGCAAATAGGGAAGTGACATCGATCGCGACTGCGTAGGACGATCGAACAAGGGAGTAGAATGTTGAATAGAGGTGGTTGACTCGTAGAGAATTTGCCAAGGACTAGATTATGATTGTATGAAGATTGAAATAATGAATGTTTATATTTATTGCACAAGCGATTTAGCTTGGGCCACCTTGTAAAATTTCTGTGCGGCGGCCATTTTGTTTCTACGAGTTTCTGATACTATTTGTTCTTCCCCCTTGGACGGAGATTTTATCAGACATTTATTTTTCTTTTTCTTTTCTTGTAAATTCACTGTCTCCGTTGTTCTTTTTTTCTCAACTAATTTAAGATGTAACAGTCCAACACGAATTCCACTGCTTTCGTTTATTGATTCGATTAGCCATAGGTCCTTCTTGATATTTAAATAACAATTTTATGTCCGTCGATACACCAATTTCCGTCTTCAGAAACTAAAATCCATTCGTGAATGACGTCTTCGTTCGATAAAACAAATCGGGGACCAACAAGCCTCTTTCGAGGCTGGTCTCTCCGTCATTTTATACAGAAACAAGGATATCTCTACAATTCCGTGAGGTAATCACTTCACCCCGATTAGAAAAAACGTTCCACCGTACTGGAAAAATTCTTCGGGATTCCCGGATAAACTCCGATCACACTAAACCGGATTCTTGACAAGTCCTTCCGATTGTGGGGCACCAGAAGAGAATAGTTTCTCGGGTCAAACACTTTACGAACAAAAACTATGCACGATGATAAGAATTTCGCACTTCGTAAACAATAAAAGGATCGCTCGCGCGTTTACACCCGAACGGGGAAGGGGGATTCCCGTTCCGTTCTCCGTTTCGTTGAAACTCGGTCCCCTCGGCTTGACCGGAGTGTCGGCAAGTGCGTGAATCCGGGTCGGTCGCGTCGAGAGAGACGGGACGTTGTGAGAGTACCGGCGAAACCAGGTGGTTTATCCCTACCAGAGAACAACGAGACGCGTTGCCTACTCGCGACGTACGTATCGTTCGAACCTGCCCACCGTCAGTCGGCCGGCCAATCCCGCGACGGCGTAGTACGCCCACGGGCGCGCGCATTGGTCGCTGTTAAATTGATACCTATTTAACATTTGAGTAGAATGTTGCAGGCGATCGCCTTTTTCCTCCCTGTATTATTTATTGCTCGATCGTCGTGCCTCCTTTTTTCGCCTCCTCCTCTTGCTCGCTCGCTCCGTCGCTTCTTCCTTTGCGTTTCTTCTCCTACCGCGTCTTCTGCGGGGGCTGTCTTATAGTTCTTTCTCACTTTTTCTCTCTCTCACTCTCCCGCTACTGTAGATTCGTATCCTCATCTCGCCACGACGCCGCGCCGCATCCACTTGAGAAAGAGCGGCGGGACTTAATTACGGAGAATATTCTTACTGTTGCTTGCTCTCTCTCTTTCTCTCTCTCTCTCTCCCCCTCTCTCCTTTCGTTCGTTCGCCTCAACCGTCATGTTATCGTATCATAAACGCCATGAAGAGAATGCAAGAGCAGCAGTTTGCATTTCTTTTTAATTTTAAACATACGAGTAAAACGTATGAGCGAACGTTCCATAAAAACAAAAAGTGGCATCAATTTTATTAATATTTATCAATCTCGACAAGAAAGCAAAATCTGCAGAAGCCGTGGTACGATGCCTGTGTTATCCAATAATCCTGCCTCCTTATTCCAAGTTTTCCAACGTCATCTAATTATCTTCCGAGAGATGCACGCCAACCGGAGATCCTTCTCGAGAGGGCGGGTCGATATTTCTTACCGGGAAGTTCCTTACTACCGATCGATTAGTCGCACCACCCCGGTAGGGGTGGCTGTCCGACCGCGTAAATGCGCGGGCGCGTCCTTTTATACGAGCCAGTTTAAAATGGTGACTGTCGACAAGCTCGACCCGCCATTTTCCACGTCCCATCGAGAAAACGTATATCTTTCCCCTTAACCAAACGAGGGACGAGCACCTTTTTTGTGCTCACGAAAAAGCTACGATCGAGTTCACTATATCATCCACCGCGAGAGAACGTTTAAGGCCCGTATTTATAGTCACGTTTCTGCTTAAGAACTAAGCTAAAACCAGTCTTGAAATAATACGATTTAGTAAATAGGTTTTGAGATTTAATTTTTTAAATTCATTATATCATTTTTGTAATCTCAATTTAATTAGAAAAAAAGTTTGTCTGGAGAACAAATAGCCTAAGAATTTTTTCTTGTGAACAGGTTTATGATTAATTTTTGGGAGAAAATATGTGTATGTAACAATAAAATGTATATTAATTTTTTAATCTTATAATATTTTTCTAGAAATGTGAAAAAAGAATTTAAGAAGATTATTTTCGTAAAATTAATTTAAAATACAAGAAAAAATTTTTATAATAATAAAATTAAATATAAAATATATTATTATTTTTATTGCAATGTTATTATAATCTTTAAAATAATGTTAAATAATAATTTTTAGTATAAATTAAATAAAGTAGCATACATATTT